ACAACTGTTGGTCTAAGCGGAATGTGACGTATCTTGAACTTCATGAAATGTACATGAATTAACTGACATGATGACTGAATATTAGTTTCATTCTGTATGTTTCCTAAGAGCTAATGATATAACCTGTTCAGTTTTTCAAAATATTTTTTAATAAAAATGAGGACTTATTAATTTGTACATGCTTGCATTATGTGATATCTTGTTCACTCATAGACAAAACAGGTCATCATGATATGCTGGTTGCTTGTGAAGTCAACTTCATCCTTCATTTAAAGCAGGGGATGTCAACCTTTTTATACCTACCGCCCACTTTTGTATCTTTGTTGATGGTAAAATTTCCTTACCGCCCACCGGTGCTGCACGTACTGCCCACCACCATGAAAGAGGTACAGCTCGAAGACTGAGTGATGGCCGGTGGTAAGCCCCGCTGTCGTTATGCGCACTAAACTCGTGCCTTTGATACGGAGCTCATTCGTTGCTCCCTCGTCAACGAGTATACTTCGAGAAGTGTCTGGCGAATTATTATCTATATTCAAAGTTTAGAGATGAAAGTCAAACTCGCGAAGTTGTTAGCAATGTATTCGATATATGGAGGAAAAACAAAATTTGTAACAACGGACAAAAACCCACACTGCCCACCATGAAAGCTTGAATCGCCCACTAGTGGGCGGTAGGAACCAGGTTGACGACCCCTGACTTAAAGCCATTTCAGGGTCTCTGAACATAATTCGCTGAAGACATTTAGTACTTAAAATTGATGACCACTTCACATGGGTTTGCCTTTTTTGTTCTTCACCATAGCTATGTGGTTTTCCATATATTTTACTATAAGATGACTGCCTGTTTAAATTTATGTTCATAGACAAACAATTCACTGTCTCTGTAATATCATTCCTGAAAAAAAGTACATGTAATTACTATATATTCATACTGGTATGTCTGATTATTAGTATGAGCAGGATGATCCAACATTCATGTTCATTCTCCATTGCTATGATTTTCAGCATACACTTAATTGGCATATATATTACAACTTTTTCACATTGTTCATCTACATTGAGTTAAATATAGTACATTTATTTCCCCTTGTAAAGCAACAGGCTCTGTACTAGTTACACATAACACAAAGTGCAGTATACAGAATCTTCTTCTATTTCCGGTTTAACAATATTTTTATACATTTTCCGGTACCCTTTTACGGGTCCCAACTTTGCGTTGGCTTGATCTATAGACATTCGGTAGGCCTCCTTGGACGAGGGATCGGCCCGTCGCAAGGCCTCTACCTGTACACAGGACAGCACAACACAGAAAAACGCGGACAGACATCCATGGCTCTAGTGGGATTCGAACCCACGGTCCCAGCGACCAAGCGGCACAAGGCCCCACACCTCAAACCGCGTGGCCACTGTGGACCCCAAGTATACAGAATCTAAAAATAGTTAACAAGTCATATATTTTGGGTGATGAGACTACTGTCAGGAAAGAGGGTGTAATAATGGTTTGCCAACATTTAGTCTTCTGCAGGTTGAAGGGACTATACTGCTGACCACAGTTTAATATTACAAACAGTGGGATTGAATACGATTTTATGTTTGGATTGTGTCCCACGCCGTAGCCGCGCGGTCTGAGGCATCATGCTTTGGACCGGCAATACGGAATGTGCGCTGGTTCGAGTCTCAGGGGGAGAAGAAATTTTCTCATGAGATTTCGACCAGTGTATGGGACTGGTGCCAACCCAGCATCGTGAGGAAATTGGGGAGCTACAATGAGTAGCGTAATCCGGTCAGGAAAGCTAGCAATGGCTGGGGGTTCGTCGTGCTAACCACAAGTCACCCTATATCTGGTTGGATGATCGTTCACCTCTGCTTAGGCATGTGAACGTGAGGCCAGCAGTCAAGTAGTTGGCTTTGGCTCTCTGGAGCTGTTATGCCACAGATTTTTTTAACCTTGGATTGTAGATCAGTATTTGATTTATCATATGGCAACTTTAGTATTGAATTGGGTACCACATAATATTAGCTACTATGAATGAAGGATTTAGGATGCATTTTCCCAGTCATCTGTGGTGGCTTCCAGTTACAGTAGGTACCAGAACTACAACATTTTATCAAGTAAACTCTGAGCCAGTGAAGTTTGCAAGCTTATGGCCTGAAGACAGCAGGTAACAGTACAGACTCTAATTTAGTGAGGGCACTGTAGTAGTCCAGCCATAGTCATATGATTGTTATGAAATCACCACCCAAATGAGGATTTGCATGAACACTGGTGAATTATGCAACAAAATATATATTTATAAGCTTGTAAATCTGATGAACATGAAAATTATATAAAGTTGGTAGTAGAGAAGGTATGATATCAACAATTTATATATATAAATGTAGTTGTCAGTAAAATGTTAACCTGGTAATGTCTTAATGTAGAGCAAACAGTGGTAAAGCATTGAACGTCCAATTTTCATGCCAACGTAACTTCTGGAAACTTTCCAATTCCTTCCTGAATCTTGCGTCTCTCTCCTGTTGTGCCCTGCTGTGTGGAAATCCTCTGAACCAAGTCTGAAGTTGATCAGAGAGTTCAGTAGCATCATCAAATTTCCAGCCATTTATGTTGTGATTTACCAGCTCATTTAGACTGCAAGAGAAACATGTTCAAAACTAAGTAAGATTTGAAACTAGTCATGGATTTGAGTTCCTAGTCAAGTCTGTGTGAGCAACTTCCTAGATTCACTTGATGAAAGAAAACGATTAGTAATATATAACTGAAAGTTGGGGAAGGAGGGAGTACAATTATAGATGTAAGAATAGGTTTTGTGTGGTATAATATAAGTAGATGTATAACATCTGTGGATTGCAAAACCTTCATGTTAAGTGGATGAAATCTTGTATTCAAGACAACAATAAATGATTTAATTTTACTTGTTCTTATCACTGATACTAACTTGCAGTCTCAGTGTGGCTGGCCAACTACGAAAGGCAGCAATCAAAGTGGTGGTTGCACACAGTAGAAAGACCACACTGTTTCAGAACTAACAAATATCTTTATTGTACATTTATGTGTCTGTAAAGCAAGGGAAATTAACATAGAATCTTGTCTGCAGATATGCATGAGTAATTTATAACAACAACAATACATCTTAATTTGTAGTGAGTATATGCTCTTTATAATTGTAACCTGCACTCACACAGTGTCAAGAATTATAAGGTACTGCTTGGTCTAATAATTCATAACAGGAAACTCATTGCATCTTGGGTCATAATAGAATTACTTTCATCATTTGCCCTTTGTGCATTGCAAATTGCAGGATAATTTACCATGAGAAGTTGTATGCACAGACAGGAAGTCCACAGCCAAACATGTCCACTACTTTCATTGGGAGGTCCAGGCCACTGGATGATGTATGAAGGCATATCCCTAGGTTTGCACTGGCTAAAACAACAAGTTTTCAGTCAACCAACATCCTGACACACTAATAACAATGACATAAATATCCTCGTACCTGTAACATAGGAGGCGGCAAAAACCCACAACCAGGTTGTAGAGCCAAGAAACAACAACATACAATCCTTTTGACTCCCCACCTTCCTTCTTTCCTTCCAGCCCCTTTGACTGTTCCTAGGACACCTTATACATTACAATACATAACGTTATCTGTCCATTTTTTATCATCATGCTACGCAGTCACACAGTCGCAACTGGCTGTGTAATTCACAGATGATGGGTAACTTTCTACAAGTAAAATTAGCAAATACAGTAATTTATGAGCTTGGAATAAAATGGGATGGTACATATGTATTTTGTGCTATATTAGTATATATTAGCATATTTTTACTTTTGGGATGAATATATTTCAACAGATTATTAAAGTGAAGCAACATTATAATGCATGGCAGTTGTTCAAGACATGCATAGTGAAAATCAAATTACAGTTTTACATTAACAGCACTGAATGTTTTCCAACCGCATGTACACAACATATGAGCAATTCATATCATGACACTGCAGTGTGGAGACGCTTGGGCTGGCAACCAGACAAAATATAGCAGATTACACAATAAGTTTCTTACAGTCTTTTAAGCCATGAAATTAAGCCAGGGTGGCTGAAGGAAAATAATTAAATATACATACAGAAATTTCTGAGTTGAAGTATGTTGTGTAGATGGAAAAAAATGATCTCTCCATTACACATTAATTTTGTGCACTCTGTTACAGAATACATAAAACTGTCCAAAATGAATGTCTTGTGGTTATGTTACTGAAACCTAAAGCATATACCTAGTAGACGTGGATAATCTTCAGGCTCCAACCACGGTGTGATAACCTGTATATGCTTCCAAGTCTTCTTTTTGATGAGGTGACAGTAACGCTCTTTCAGTGGTCCCTTCCCCGTAATTACACAGATCAAAGCTGGTAGTTCACAGCCCTCATCACGAGCCTCCTCATAATCTTTGACAGCAGAAAATACGGTTACAGGATATTTGTCAAGACACATTTTCTCTTGTCTACCATATTAAACACAAACAGTGGTTTAATTTGTGATCACTGAATAATATGCTTGCAAAAAATTTGTGATATAATACTGTACATATACACACCATGTGGCAGCATAGTTCTGTATGTACAGAACTTAGTTCATCACATGGAATTAGGTTCCATAACTTCCATTTGCTAGACTCAACACAGTCAGCTAACATCAGCTGCTGTAAAATAGAAGCCATATCTCCACTTTCATTAATACCTGTAATATCTCTTATACAGAAACATACATTTTATCCAGTTACAGACTGATATCACCACAAATGAATTATAAAAAAATCTGGATAAAATTTGGGATATGTTAACCTCCATATAGTCATATATATCTAAGTGATATATCAGGGGGATTCTCACCTCTTTTAAGACCTACAGCTACAGTTACCTTATACACTCGCAGGCCACTGGGTTATAAATTATGGCCATTTATTAAAACTTATTGGTAATTTATTACAAACAGGTCTACATATTACACTACTCAATAATTAACAAATTTTTTATCTGCTTTTTTTATTATTTACTTAAAATTAAAGAAGGCCTGTTTAATTTAAGTGGTAACTATTTTTATTTATGATATACAATTTTTAAGAAATGTATGAGGGTGACTTAAAAAACTGATGGGCTAAAGTGAGAACCCCTATCCTATGTATTACATTTAACCACAGTGACCCTGATTCATATGTCATGGGTAAAGAGCAAAGAATGAAGAAGGCTTTAACACAGGACATCATGTGCTTATGAAAATGTCAATGGATGATTATGGTCATCTTTCTGTGAAAATTAAAAATATTACCTTGTAAAGCAGACAGTAATAGTGAGAAATCCTCATCCTCAGTCCAACTTGTGCTGGAAACTATTAAGCCTGGGCGGTCCTTTCTCCATGCTGCTTCACCACCTGGCAGCAACTCTGTTAATATTGTGCTGACAGAACTGTCATTGGTCCCAAACAAAGGAAATTGGTTTGCAAGTGATGAAAATAACTGATGGCTTTCTAGTACTGAGATGGGATGAAATACCTCTGGTGGGCGGTCATAAAGTGTCACAGACCTAAGACAAAACATGCACACTATTTATCAAAAGATGTATAATTTTACTAGCACAGTACATATCTTTGTATTCTACCATCAAATATGAATAGTGTTACATGTCAGATTAAGTTAGGTTATGCTAGGTTAGTTTAGATTAGCATTATTTTTGTACTATGGCTAATAACCATAAATGAACACAAAATTTACAAGAAGTTTGGCAAGAGATTACATCTTGTTAGTGAATGCTAAGAAGACACCATAGTCTTCAATTGTTATCACAAAAGCTGTTCCTGCTGGGACATTTGCTTAATGCCATTTTGTCAATGGTATAGATTAAACAGAGTCAGATCACTGTATGACCTTGGCTCATTTCTCAGCATGTTTTGAGGAATTAAGGAAAAATATAAGAAGGCTCAATCAGAATAATTTGTTTGCAACTATGCTGTGATAGTCACTATTATTAGTTTGGTTTCTGACCTCCTAAATATAAGAGTAATAGTAGCTACTGCACCATAATATTTAGTAAACTTGCCTACAGATCAATGACCCCTGCACTAAAATAAAAAAGTATCCTACATTGATGTCAACTTCATGTGGTACTCTCTATTAACAAAAATGAGATTCAAATCACTACAGGGGGTGTGAAGAAAATTACACTACCTTTGATTTAATTGCTTTAACATTTTATAGATTTGTGGTAATTATGTATACTATTTCCTTTTACATTCATAACTCTGCTTGTTGCTCATAAAAAATGTAGCTTTAATTTGGTTCTCATACGAAAGAGTAAAACTCTTCCTAAGATCATTAAGGTAAGAAATGAGGCTTTAAATAGTACTATGATGAATTTTGTTCTTTAGAAGATTAAGTTTATTTGCTAACAATGTGGTTTAATTTATATATGATCTGAGGTTCTCACTGTATCTGTATCATCATCATCATCATCAGGGCAATGATGGAGGAGGCAGAAAGGACCTCTGAAACGTTGGTAGACTTCTACCAGACTACATGGCACTACAACCCAGAAGACAGCTATATTTGTGGTATAATTTGTTTAATGTGTTGACAGACACAGACACACCGTAACAGCCAATTACAATCCATTAATCAGCCTAATGAAAATGTGGGATTTACATGAAAAATATATGCAATTAAGAACAACTCACAAGATTCCCCATTTTTTTTCCAAGTCTTCCTTCATTGCCTTCGTAACACAAAGGTTTGCAGTTGCTCTTCTACCAAAGAACCTTTCAAACCACACTGATACAGTGACAAGTTTATGATTCTGCCCCAATGTGAGAGCCAAGATGGTGTGACCATAATTGTGCCAATCTATTACATAGTTCGCAAACACCAGCACACTATAAAGCCAACATATGGCCAGAGCAGGAACAGCTGGTGGATTCTGAACAATGACGTGATGAGAACGTCTTTTCAAAAGTAAAGCAAGGAAGAGTGAGATACTCTGCCAGATTACTTTCAGGATATATCCCAACAGTCGTGGACAATCTGTAAAACAAATTGATAAATATAAAAAATGTTCTACATTAGAATTGTGCCTATACTTATAGCTGTTCATTAAAATACTAACATTTTTGAAAGTCTGGGCACGGAACCATAGAATGTTCTACATTAGAATTGTGCCTATAATTATAGTTGTTCATTAAAATACTAACATTTTTGGAAGTCTGGGCACGGAACCATATTTCGAATTTTTACTTTTGGATGTTTTGACAATTCTTTTATAGGTTGTGAACCACCATACCCAACAATGTCAACATCATAACCTTCCCTTGCAAATGATAATGAATGGTACTGCATACGTGGACTTCTCCCAAAATCTCCAAGAACTACAACACAAACACGTTTATTTGCCATTTTCACAAAATTACACTCACAACACGTGCAGAAATGACATCCAACACTGTGTTGTTGCCTTAACCCAACTATAAGTCAGCTCTAAAACTAGGTTACGTATGCTTTGGTCCACAGTTGAAACATGGAATCAGCGGGTTGTAATTTGAATAGGAAGAGGGACAACATGCACTCGCGACATCTTAACGCAGCTGTAGTGTAGCTACTTGAACTAAGTACACGCAAATCGCACAAGATGTCAGACACTAGTCGATAGCGGTCGATCGCAGACAACAGTATTGTTAATATGAACCAATCACGAAACAATGCAGTTATCTGCAAATGACTATTTGATTTAGGTACAATCTGTGGGATGGCAGAATTAGCATAAACAAAAGGGTTGTGCGCGATATCAAATGATTCCGCTTCTAATTCGTTAAGTTTAATAAATTTTGGGACAATTTCAAAATCACAAAATTGACCCGTGCACTCCGAATAGTTGTCCAGTCCTCAGCTGATTACTCGTTATTTTATGCGATTGTCAAAATCCTGCCTACTTTCGCAGAAATAAGATTCAGCTTAAATCATGTGATGTACAAATGTTTTATTAAATTTGAGTTTCATGTAAAGTAGAGGGAAAATCAGATCGATATAAACAGAAATTAAATTCTCTAAACACAAATTTGATTGTAATCTGTTCAGCAGATTAGGGATTTAACCATGTGGGCAGACGGACGAACGGAACGACCTCCCCTTTATGCGCTCAATCAATACATGATTTAAAAAGAACGCATAACGACATCAACCAAACTATGACGTATACCAGCACCAAATAAAAATATCTATGTAGATCACTTAGTATTGTTAAAATAGCGAATTATAGGACGCCACACTGGACTGAAAACGTGGTTTGGATGCAAGAAGTTAGATATGCATGTGGAATTTTGGTGAGGAACTACTTGAAAAACGTTCCAGCTGCAAGACAAAGAAAGATATTGGAGGATAATACTAAAATGGATGTTTGGGAGACAGTTTATAGCTAACGATAAAAGTTGAATAAAATTTGCTTAGGATCGTGTCAGATGGCGAACTTAGTTGTTAGGTTAGGTTAGGTTAGGTTTAATTAACGTTAAATTAACCAATTTTAGCGTTATTAATTAAGGTTAATACCGCGACATTTGGTTAATTTAACGTTCGTAGAACGATTAGTCAGTGGGTATGTTTCAAAACAATTCCGCGTAAAAGTCATTTATCTACATCGAAGAAAGAAAATGTGATTTGGGTACTTATAAAAAACAATAAAAGTTAGAGCGGTAGCGGGAAAATACAACGCCGTGTCTGCCCACACGCGCAGCAACGCGCATGCAACTGGTCAGTGATCGATGCCCCTCCGCGTCGTGCCGCTGCATTCCAATGACGCGTTGGACTAACATCGCAACAATCATCTCTGATGGACAGGTATTCAAGCCCGCGTCTTGTTGTGACGTAACAAAATGAGTGAGTTGTTTGAAACTTGTTTAACAATCGAAGAACGGAGCGCCTAGCGTCGATTATTGACAATCAGCCCATAATAAATAAAAAACACTGGTATGTAGTTTATGATTTGTAGTTTAGATGCGTCATGTTTGTGTATAGACTGAAATAATAAATAAATATATACTGTAGTTTATGAGTTATACTTAAAACATGTGATTTTAAAAATTTAGTGTATAAAAAGTAAACAAATCTGTAGATTATTTGCAAGAAAAACACAAAATTAACGAAGAAATGGAGAAGTTTCTGTTAGTCTCATTCTGCTTTCGAATGTTTCATCTCTGAAACTGTGCAATGGATTTAGATTAAATTTGGTATATGGTTCTGTAACAGAGTTGTCGGAGGAAATTAATTTTTATCTGTATCGATACATTCTAAAACATACTTTAGGCCTTCATGAAGTTTAATTCGACCTCAATTTTATAAATAAAAAAATCACACAAACAAGTAGACCTATTCGATACAAAATTTAGATACAGTTCATAACAGTTCAGTTCATTTCAGTGCTTAACTTTAGTGGTCTGCATCAAGAAATTACCAATTACAGATACAGCACTAAAATAATACAAGATGATAAACGAATTGTAATAAACATTACATAATTATACTAAACAAAAATGGAATTAGTACTCAAAGGCTAATAAACCAAAAACATAAGTATTAATTTTATAATATAATTAAGTGTAATTATATGTTTACTACAAATGTCAATACTAGAATGGTGGGAGAATCCAAAGCAGTAATTAAAACACGTTTTTATTGAAAAGTGTAACAAAGCAGCATACATAAATTAAAATCATTAAATATCTTTGCTTAATCACGAAAATTTTGAAGCGTTAACACGTAAACATCTGGTTTCCTTCGTTGTAAAGAAGTACAAGGAAGGAAAGTATTTTAAACCATTAGCAATGAAAATAATAATGGCGCACACAATCAGCGCCTCCTTTCGTATCTACCACCAAATTTCATGCTTCAAGGTTACAGAAAAACCGTAAAACATTGCAACACGAACAGCGGAGCTCAGGCGAGTGAAGACATCTCAGAACTGGCAGCGTAGCAACGCTGTGTTGGTGACTTACAGCCGCGCCGTAGGGAGAGAGTTTGAAATCCTTCCGTGGCCTTGAAACACGCAACTTGGTGACGGCTACTATAGTGCATAATGTATGGAAATAACCCAACAGCTTAAAATCTTACAAAGCAAAAGTATCTTGTCCACTTGTTGGTGGAAATAAAGCCTTGAATAAGAAAAAGAGATCCTTGTAGCATCCTGTTTGTAGTCAAATAAATTAAGATACTTGTGTCGTCTGAAACATTCACGTTTTTAAAAACTGGATTTGGTCAAGGCAGTGGTGGGCCCTGCTTTGTTCCAAGTCCTTCACAATCATCCCGTGTAACCTGTGTAGTTGATTGAGAAGCGTAATATGTGTTGACAGATGGGGTGCGCAAGCAGTGCGCCAACACTGTCCCGTAACGGGGAACTGAAGTCCGCAGCGGACAGCATTATCGAAGAGGGCACGGACCTAGCATCTAAGGCAAAGAAGTCTGCAAGCGACCTGTTGGACGTAGCAGGTGACGCCAGGGACAGCGCCCTCTCAAAGCTTCAAGGTAAAGGCAGTAGCATGTGACAGACGAATGAATCCACATCATGAAATATTCATTCGCATTATAGAACCGCGGATCGTAGTAACGTTTGAACAAAGAGGTAGAGACGAAAAACGTCTAACATAAGCAAAATTATAAACAACCTTGTTACAATTTTTTGATTAAATAACCAAACAATTAACGTACTTATATTTATAGTATTTTTATAGGAATCTGGTATAAACGGTTCACGAATTAACTGATTCGATAAGAATAGAATCTTAGCCTTATTGTTGCCGAGACAGGAAGTCACAGAAAAGCACCTCGGCATTTTGTCAATTGTTATATAACATCAACTTCGGATATTCTCCGTAACGAGTATGTTTTCATGTTCTTCTGTATTTGATAACACGCTCGCGTGTCACTTGTTTCGTGACATACTGGGGTGACTGAACCCTGGCTGAAATTTATTGTAACGCAAGATCTTATAGAATATTTGAAACATTACATTATATAGATTCGAAATTTTTTGTTTCGCAAACGTGGTTTTAAATACGTTTTAATATCTTTCCTGAGGCATGAAGTTAAATAAAAACCAACAATGAAAATTCGAAGGAGTTTTCAGTATATGGTCTTCGTTTCTAGTCGATACAGGAGCATTCACCCCTTCACACTGGACAGCCCTCTCGATAAAAACTACTCGCAGTGTTTATCTTTGACATTTGAGTGTAGTCGGTGCCATGGAACAGTTTTGCACATGAAGGGCACGATTAATTTTGCATTCAAAAACAAGAAGTTCTAGGAAGAACTTGTGACTCATTTACGTAAACTACTCCAATATTACGAGGCTAGTAGGAACTATAGATTAAAAATTAAAATTGTAGTGATTAATTTCGTTATAACTTTCATAAAAACGGATTCTGGCTACGTAAAATGTACCTCATATAATATCAAATTTTCTCACAGTGGCCATTTGTGTAATTGTTAACATTTAAAAATATTGTTCACGCTTAATCTGTAAGCACCGACTTTAGAATCAGTCAGCTGTTTAGGAACGCGTTATGGTCACATTCTTTCCATATGATAGGCCAAAAGAAATCTTTTACTCTGAATTCTGTAATTTAAATAAATATATTTAATTTATTTCTAATTTTGACGTTTAATGTACAGTCAGCGACATATAAAAAATTCTATTTCTACAATTGCTATAATTTCTCTCTCTCTCTTTTTGAATTCTTATTTCAGAGTTGTGTATTAATGTTACGACAGCCATAGTTATAGAAGATTCAATTTGTGTTTCTTTCCTTGTCCTTGCTAATTATTATTTATATTTTAAAAGAAAATTATCTGCACAAAACTTAGATTTTTCTGGACATCTTTTTCCACGCCGTTAACTTTCACTTCATTCCCCATTTATCACCAAAAGTCATCCACCCACTTAATGATATATGACACGCAGTTAATAACGCGTCGTTAAACAAACAAAAAAAAAACAAATAATAGCAAAATAAATTTCAAACATGCCATTTATTAAAGAATTACATCTGGGAAAATACATTTATTGTTTCATTTTGATAAAGTGCTCGTTTCATATTCCAAAGAAAAGTGAATGACGTCATAGAAGCCAAGACCTGTTGAGGTCACGCATTCGCAAAACGAGATTGTTGCTTGAGATTGCTGTTAAAGCGCTGGCCACGGGAAACTGTCAAGATAATCCTGTGTTTAATTCGAGTTCGCAGTTGCATAAGTGACCTTGGATTTCCATGCACATTTATGATAATTGTACACACATTTGTTATGCTTTTGTTTGGGATCTGAGATTTTCTCGGCAGTGACGATATCGATTGTGGTATTTTGGGTTATGCCACCGTGTAAGTGGTTTCCAAAATTTCCGATGAACGTATCTCCAAATCGTATCAACATAACGTCCTGTAACCTTCAACCCAGAAGATGGGGGGGGGGATACGCTCTTTCGAAACACTGGTAAACACCAGCACAACCCATAAGACCACAATCGATAATAATTTATTTGTTCCTTCAGTCTATTTGAA